CCTCTGGATGTATATTCTCCAATGGGACACATCCATAGCCAAGAGTCATCAATCGTGCTCTCCAGTAATAATCTTGTGCGCCAACAGCTTTGGCTGCCTAGCAATTATCTGAAGCATTTGAGGAATGCACTACTTTCCCCACTCCCTTTCTGTTGGCAACTAAAAAGACCAAAGAAGTATTTTTTAGTTGACACAGTGTTTATTTTGTCCTCTTTATACTTATATACTGCAGATTCCATGATTATTCTAATTTTCTATTCTTAAATAAATTGATTTCCAGAGGCTCTGAGCCAGTATTAATGTCAAAAGATTAAAACAAAACTCAGGTAATGCAACAATAACCAAACAGTCCAATGGACATGGTTGGCACATAACAACTGATTATGCAAAGGCCTTCATGGTCACAACCTCCACTTGCTGTTCAAACAGAAGCAGCAATCCCCTCTCAAATGATGAAGATTTATTCCTGGATTCACTCAGCTGCTGAACACCACATTGTGTTGGTATGATTGATCTAAGCCTGTTTCAACCTACCCAGCTCCTAACTGCCTCCAGTAACCAGGATGGGACCACCATTGCATCTCCTGCTCAGCCAGGATAAAGATGTGTTGTTGGGTATTAGTATATTGATAAGAAAGAGAGAGAATGTCATCCTGAATCAATACACCGCAGGGTGAAAGTGTTTTCAATGAAGATTATGGACCGTAATCTACACCCAGTATTTCTCAAAACTCAGGCAGCTTGAAGATGTATGGACTTCAACTCCCAGAATTCCCCAGCCACCAAGGTTGAGAAACATTGATCTACATGTTGCCAGTGTGAATTGCTACATATATGCCTATCATCCCCACCTTAAGACTTTTAATACAATCAATAATAATGCTGAATAAATTAGTGTATTTAAATTAAAATTGTGCTTGTTTTTGGCTGTGTATTAGAACTAGATATTTTTTTCCACAAGAGGGCACCCTTTGATTTTTCATGTGCATGTTTCTTACAGACATTTAATATCGTAATAAAAGATTACTCTTGAATAAAATAGTTACAGCATATGAAAATGAACTCTGAATGGATGCCAAGGAGCTTTTGATAATCAAATTAATTTTGCAATTATTGTTTTGAAAAAAAAAATTGCAATTTTGGGGAACGTTGACGAGAGTTATGTAAGAATACTACCAGTACATTTTAAAATGTCTATAATGAAGCAGCTAAAATATTTGAGTCAGATCAGGTCAGGAAGATTAAGGTTCATGTTCCCATTCTGTCAGAAATCACAGGTAATTTGGGGGTCATTTTTTAAAATTTTAACTCACAAGTCTGCTGTGGGATAACATGTTAGATTCTCTACCATATTGGGCCAAAGATGAAGGCAAGTACATTTAGGGGATTATATTTTGTTTGTTAGTTATATGTATCTCTTAAAGGCTATTTCTGTGGGGATTTTCCTGCATTTTATCCCCACGACAGCAACCATGTAAATTAGTTTGGGCTTAGAAAGGGGAAGAGGATTTGAACGTGAATCTCCCGGGTCCAGGCCAGAACCTTAACAATCATACCATACTGATCTATGTACAGTTTCTGGATTTTGTTTGTTTTTATTACAGCTTGAAACAGTGTTTAAAAGTGAAGAAAGAAGCATCCTGAATACTGATGAACCATTTAGATGTACAATTCGGTTTTCTAGTCCTCATCTTCTAGAAGCCCTTAAGTCTCTAGGACCTTCTGGTAAGTATTGCAATTATGGTAGAACCTAAAAGCCACTATTACATAATATTTTTCCAGAATAAAACTGCCTATAAAACCAGTGATTCATAGGTCTTTCCATAATGATGCAAGCTATTGAGTTTCTTCCTTGCCAACCAATTTAAACTGTATTTTAAAAATGTGTCATCCTAATTAAACATCTGATATAATAAACACTACTATATTCAAATGCAGATATTTGAATTCTGTAGTAGTTGGTTCATTCTAATATAAATTAATAAGGCAAAAGTCCCTTTTAGGCTGCTCACTATAGTAGACTCTTTTAAATTTCTCATGTGAATGAGCAATTTTAATGCATGCAGAATTGTATTTTAATTCTGGATGGATATAGTATCTGAGTTCTCCCATTTTGATTTTGCATCTTGCCAAAATCTCACGAGACTTTTTTTAGGCAAGATCTCATGCATAGTTTTGGACATTAAAAAAATCAAGAGCATTATAGCTGAAAATATGTTGCCAAGCCTTGCCTGAAATAGATTTTGATCCCAAGCCATTGTGTCATGCTGTTATATTTGGATTTATGCAGTGCTATTAAAAGACATCAAATTCTTGAACTTCGAGGTTTACTTAAACAGCTGTAAGTGATAATATTGATTTTTACTATTTTTTTTTAATACTAGGAATAGCAGATGCTCCTCTTTCACCACTACTCACCTGCATCACTCAAAAAGCCAGGAATTATTTTAAAATCAGAGAGAAAAAAGATGATCTTTCACAAACCAGTAATACCTTTCAAGTAAATTGAAGAAGAGAGACAGATATGGACTCCTCTCTCTCAAGCTTCCTGCATCTTTCCTATTACTGTATGGCTTGCAGAAAAATAAACTTTATAACTTGGAAGGATGAGACACTCCTTGTAACTCCAGTAACTCTTCATACGCGTGCCACATTCTTCTGAAACAAACCATACCAAAAAGATTTTAGAAATGGAACAATTCACAGTATTATCTTTGGAGATTTTAGAAATAATTATCAGTGAAGGTTTGTGTATTCTTACAGCTGAAAATGACAAATTGATTTTAAATATGTTGGTTAAATGATGCATGTGAGATAAATAAGCCTATAGACTTATTTATAAAATTGTAATCATGGCATGTAATTTTCAGACAAGGATAGACAAGAAAGCTGTTCATTTTAACTGCTAGTCAGGATAACAATATTCTATGCTGGGAGTCAACCTCTTACAAAATAATAACCCTAGGAGATCCATAAGCAAAGGAAGAAGGAGAATCTTTTCATCCACCTTTTACTAATCCTTCATTCCATTCTGATCTGTTGAACATAAAATTTACTTTATGTACCAGTTTGAAAGATGAGTAGCTTGCATTGTATTTGACATTAAGGGAAAGACACTGGCCCTTTTCCATGGCCAACATCAATTTACAGGCTTACATGTTTTAAAAAAAGTACTTGGGTTATCTAGGCTTATTTATACGCCAGTGCAGATGTTATCAATGCTCAATTGGTATTGTCTAATTAAACATGAAATGTTAATCTGGTGTATATAATTGTTATTTTAATTGCTTGTTTTGGAAAAGTTGCTGTGAACACAGAATGCACTCTGTACAAACATTGATGATAAATGTTCAATTATACTAAATTGAATTTTAAAATGAAATGTTAGTGAATCATGATTATTTTTAATAGTATGGCTTTATATGTACTTAGATGTCCATGACAGAAATGGAATATATATCAGCCGTATACTGCAGAACACTTAACATATGTCAGGGTTCTTTCTGACAATGCTGGTAGCTGTTTTAGGAGGTTTTTGATTCTCATATTTTGTAAAAAATAAACTATTTATAAAATTTGTTTCACTGTATTGCTGTTACTGTATTCCAAGTTTATTCCTGCTGCCTGATAATAAGTGGTTATTAGCCCCTTATCAGTTGTATATGCACTTTGCCTTAACCATAATTTTATCTGTGGTTGCAGACATTTACACTAAATCAAATTGTTCCAAGGTTTATTCTATTATGCAAGCCCCTTCTTACTCTTAGATTATTTGAATTTAATTGAAGCCTAAATTAAGTGTATTCTCTAACCAATTATGCAACATCTGAAAAATTAGTCAAATGCATTATAAACTGCTGGGTGGGTTGTTATTTTCTATAAGTGGGAATAATCAAGCTTGGCTTGAAATGTTAGTGTCTATACTTTCCTGAATGTTACATTAATAATTGATTCTATATACAAAACATGTTAGATAAAACTGGTTGCAGTTGCATTCCAGTTGACTTTGTAGTCACCCTAACTACTCCAAACAAGGACTATGGGATCATAAAAATGCAGGTTTGTAATTTGAGATATTTAACATTTTCGGCCTATCCTATTACCCCTTTTTGCTCTAAAATTAATAGGATTGTCAACTTCCAAGGGATTCTTTCTGTGTTTGGAATCTGGAATTTATAAAGGCATAGAATCATCTAAGGGAGGGATAGCTAAAATAATTGTCCTTGGAAAGACAAAAGGTGTACTTAATTTTGCCGGAAATGATTACTTTTCTAAAAGCAGACAAATAAACCTGTCAGCAGTCTTGACTCCTGCTTATGTTTTTTTTCTTTTTTTACTTAACATTTATATAGGAAGAATTAAGTCTGTTAACTTATATCTTATTCACCCTGAAATAATTCGGTATTTCTATTGTTTCTGTTTTTTGTTTACCTATGGGGTTTGTAGCCTGGGTCCTGGACTGGGCTACCCTTAGAAGCCAAAACTTTCCAACTAACGTGTGAGTCGTTTCATGCCAATTTCGGAGAAGCCTTACAAGCCGTTAGAAAGGAACAGGGTGCCTTCAAAAACCTGCAAAATCAAACGCCCCGCTCCCCGACAAGAACCAGAAAAGCCACCCTACAGGGATGTCCAACCTTGGCCACTTTAAGACCTGTGGACTTCAACTCCCAGAATTCCTCAGCCAGCATAGCTGGGAGTTGAAGTCCACAGGTCTTTAAAGCGGCCAAGGTTGGAAATCCCTGACCTAGGTAAACGGGCGGCCGCATCAAACCTGCGTTCATTGATAAGATAGTAATGAATTGCAGACTGAAATCCAGTCTGGGCCACGTGACCTCAAGCCAGGCGCGGGCGGGGCGGGATCTCCGTCCGCGGAGTGGGCGGGGCTCTTTCCCACGCGTCCCTGATGAATATGGAAAAATGACGCCACTAAATATTCATGAGGCCCTCCCCCACCGGAAGTAGCCGACCGGTGGGTTTGGGAAAACGGCCGCAAGGAAGATGGCGGCGGCGGCGGCAACGACTCCTCCTCAGTCGCAGCGGCCGCCTCAGCGCGGGAGCCCCGGCTTGAGCCTGGGGCTCGGCCGTCCCCGCCGCCCGGCACCCCGCGACGTCCGCCAGAGGCCGTCGAGCCCTCGGGAGCTGGTGACGCCCTCGGTGACGGAGCTGTCTCGGGCCGTCCGCAGCAACATCTTGTGCACGGTGCCCGGCTGCGGCAAAGTGCTGCCCAACCCGCCGGCGCTGAGCATGCACCTCAGCAAGGCCCACCGCCTGCAGCAGGTAAGACCCCACCGGCCACGCACACACACACCCGGGGTCCGCCTCCCCTTCCTCCCTTCTAATGACTGGAACCCCCCACCCACCCACCCCTTTCCCAGCTTCTGGTCAGTCTCCTTTGCCAAGCTCCCCTTCCCCCACCCACGCAGCCCCCCCCACCTTTTCCAGCTTCTGGTCAATTCTTTTGGGAGGGTTTTTGCCAGGCTTCCCCTCCACCCCATATCCCCTGCACCCCCTCACCCTTTTTCCAGCTTCTGGTCAGTCTCATTTGGGAGGGTCTTCGCCAGACGCCCCTTCACACACACACACCCTTCCCCACATCCCCTGCACACCCCTGACCCCAACCTCCCGGCCTCTCTTACACCCCCCCCCTCCCACACACACACAGTGTCCGCCTTCCCTTCCTCCCTTCTGTTGACTGGAGCCCCCCACC